CTCTTCAAAAACACTTTACTTATTTAATAGACTCCACTCTTTGGTTAAAAATTTAAAATTATTTAAAATTATCAAAAATTCGAAAAACCGAATTTCTTAAAATTCAACATTTTTTCTTCTATTTAATGGCATTTAGCTTCATTATTTTTGTGCTCTTCAAAAACACTTTACTTATTTAATAGACTCCACTCTTTGGTAAAAAATCTAAAAATATCAAAAATTCAAAAATCCGAATTTCTTAAAATTCAACATTTTTTCTTCTCTTTTATGGCATTTAGCTTCATTATTTTTGTGCTCTTCAAAAACACTTTACTTATTTAATAGACTCCACTCTTTGGTTAAAAATTTAAAATTATTTAAAATTATCAAAAATTCGAAAAACCGAATTTCTTAAAATTCAACATTTTTTCTTCTATTTAATGGCATTTAGCTTCATTATTTTTGTGCTCTTCAAAAACACTTTACTTATTTAATTCCCCCCCCCCCCCTGGGTAAAAAATCTAAAATTATGGAAAATTAGCAAAAATTCAAAAAACCGAATTTCTTAAAATTCAACATTTTTTCTACTGTTTTATGGCATTTAGCTTTATTATTTTTGGGCTCTTCAAAAACACTTTACTTATTTAATAGACTCCACTCTTTGGTTAAAAATCTAAAATTATGGAAAATTAGCAAAAATTCAAAAAACCGAATTTCTTAAAATTCAACATTTTTTCTACTGTTTTATGGCATTTAGCTTTATTATTTTTGGTCTCTTCAAAAACACTTTACTTATTTAATAGACTCCACTCTTTGGTTAAAAATTTAAAATTATTTAAAATTATCAAAAATTCGAAAAACCGAATTTCTTAAAATTCAACATTTTTTCTTCTATTTAATGGCATTTAGCTTCATTATTTTTGTGCTTTTCAAAAACACTTTACTTATTTAATAGTCTCCACCTTTTGGTAAAAAATCTAAAATTATGGAAAATTAGCAAAAATTCAAAAAACCGAAGTTCTTAAAATTCAACCAAGGAACTAGAATTTTTTTCTGCAATAAGTGAAAGAAAAATTGCATTTCATTATAATTAAATTAATTAAGTAGAAAAATGTCGAATTTTTTAAAAATATAGTCCAATAAATATGTCGAAAAAAAGTTATACTATCCAAGGCCTGTATTAATTTTTTAAAATTTCTTTAAGTATCTAAAATGTATTAAATTTCCAGTTTTTAATTTATCTTATTTTTCAATATTTAAATGATATTTGAATTATTCAATTAATATCTCGATTAATATTTACGTCAATATTTTTCATTTTTACTTTAAATCTGTTTTTAGTATTTAGTATTTTTGACGTTTAAAAAATATCGTTTTGCTTAATTTTGAAAATTGTTGAAAATTTTCTATAATATTTATTTAAAAAAACTGCCTTTGATAAAAAATATAAAGAGAAAATAAGCTCTTTATCGTCATTGGTAATTGAATTTTGAAAACAGAGGTATGAAATTTCAAATTGAAATCAAATCCCAAAGGTTTAATAGTGAGATTATCGGCATTAATAGTTTGACATTATGCATATGGGTTACACACGTCATCAATTACAGTCCTCTGGATGTTACAAATTATTGTAGGTATAGTATTATCGTGTTAAGAATGACGACCAGTTTGAAATTGACATTCATTTCTTGATTAACTCCGCAGTGTGAGTGTTCATCTCGCGAAACAAAGAGAAAGATTCGACGTTTTAGTATACAGTTGATTCTTTCGATACCATTTTTCTCGAAGAAACGTTTCTTGGACGACTAGGAGAAAACCTGTTTCGAAACACGTCGTCGACGTGAAGTGTCAGTTGTATATAACACTTAAAGTAGAGAGCTTAGATCCTAAAGTTTGTTTTTTTCTCTCTTTTCACTTGGCAAGCCCTTCGAGCCTCGCGACAGTGATCGATTTTGTGCGACACCTTGCCGGACGGTTCATTGAACGTTGTTGTCCATTCTGTTTATTCTTCTCGACTTGAACAAACAAAAAAGCAAAAAAAAAAGGAAAAATAGAAGAAGAACTGTTTTAAGCTATGCGCAAGGTACTAGGGTGAAAATTAATTTTGGCGTTTTGTTTTTTTTTCTGGGGACGGAAAAATAGTTTTTATAATAAATTCTTTTTTTGTTCTGCAAGCCAAGGATATGATTTTTTTTTTACTATTTTAAGAAAAGACAACTTTTTTAAAACTTTTTGCAAAAACTGCACCTTTACTAGAATTTTCAACATTCAAATGAACAAAAAATTTTTTCCTGTTTAAATATTTACAAAAATTGCTATACTGAATTAAAAAATAATGGAAATTTGTATTTATTTCGTTAACAATTAACTTTTAAATGTCAAAAAAATATATTTTTAATAAAATTATTATAAATAATTATTATAAATTAATATTAAATATCTGAATAAATATGTACTGTCATTGCGTGAAACTCGAAATTAAAAGTTTAATAATTGTTATATTATGGGTATATCACTACTTTAGTTATTCATTTATGGTCCTCTTTGGACTGCGGAGATATGTATTAAATAAATAAATAAATATTATTATAATTAGTATTATTATAAATAAATAATTAAATTAGAATAAATGTCAACTAAAATATCAGCGTTTATTTGAACGTTCAAAACTTTATTTTAAAAAAACTGCGGTCTTTTTCGACTTTTCTTATAAATTTTATTTTGCAACAAATAACACTTTTTTAAGTATAAAATGCATATTTCGATTATTAACGTACGGAAAATAATTATAGACTTTAGTGAAGATTACAACTTTTATCATCAACAATTAGAAGAAAAAAATGTATTTTTCACTTGAAAAACTATAAATTAGGAAAAAAAAAATTTTTTTCTCATTAACTGTTGATCAAGAAACTTTATAAAATAATATTTTAATAGACAATTAACAAAAATTTAAACAGCAAAATTATTGTTTTCTTCTAAAGTATTGGCAATAAAAGTTTTGAATTTTTCTATATGAATTTTACTACGATTTTACAAAGAAAAAAATAAATGAATATTCGAAAAATTCTTTTTGAATCACTTTTTGAGGAAAATTAAGTTTTCGAAATATACGATTAAAAAGTTTTTTAATAATTGAAATTTTTTGACGACCTTTAAATAGAAATTTTGAAAATAATTGAATTCGCCAAAATTTGTAAGGAAAATGTTCAAAATAAAAATTTGTAAATGAAAATTAATAAAAATTAACTTCAAAAACATTATTTAAATGCGATTAAAAAGTTTTTCAATGAATGAAATTTTGGAGAACTTTAAATGCAAATTTTGAAAATAATTGAATTCGCAAAAATTTGAAAGAAAAATATTCTAAATAAAAATTTGTAAATGAAAATTAATAAAAATTAACTTTAAAAATTTAATATAAATATACCATTAAAAAGTTTTTCAATGAATAAAATTTTGAAGAATTTTAAATGCAAATTTTGGAAATACTTGAATTTGTAAAAATTTGAAAGAAAAATATTAAAATAATTAAATATTAATATTATTATTATAAGAAAATATTTAAAATAAAAATTTGGAAATGAAAATTAATAAAAATTATATTAAAAAATTATGTCAAAACATTTCTAAAAAAAAGTAATTCGTAGGAATTTTCCATTATATTTTTTTAAAATTCAATTATCTTCAATTACATATTTCCAAAAATTCAAATATCTGTAAAAAAAATTATAAATTTTTTAGATAATCTAATTTCTTAGAATTATTATTAACATTTTGAAGAATTCAGTCATTTTCAAAATTTTTAATTAAAATTCCTCAAAAACTTGATTAATTTTTTAATTTGACAAAACTTGATTTAAGAAATTTAATTATTTTCGAAAAATCCAACTTTTTAGCTTTTTTTTTTAGCTTTTTTCCAAATATTTCAAGAAAAATTCACTTTTTTGGTTCAAAATTGTACTATTTCGATATTTATATTGTGAAAAAAATCTGATTGAAATTTTGAAGATTTTTAATTGCTAATTTTTTAAATCATTGATTTCTTTTCAAAATTTTGATGAAAATCTTCAAATTTCACAAACACAAATTTTGTGAGTTTGTTTATTATCAATTATAAAATTTAATTATCTGCAAAAAAGTAAATTAAATTTTAATAAAAATTATTTTTTAAACTTATTTTTTGAATTATTATTAAATTAATTATTTTTTCAATATTTTCCAAAAATATTTTATAAAGTTCAATTACCTACTTTCCAAAAATTTTACTAAAATTCATTTAGATTTACATTTTTTTACTCAACATTTATTTATTTGTAAAGTGTATTAGGTATATAATTAAAATATTTATTATCTTTAAATATTTAAAAATATGTAAAAAAAATACTTTAAGAATATTGTTATTATAATTTTTATAAAATCAATTATTTTCAATTTTTTTTAATATAAAAAAATATTTTCAATAAAACAATGAAGAGTTGCAGTTATACAATTATCATAATAAATAAATTAAATTTTTATGTTAAAATAATTGAATTCCAAACGAATTTTTAAAATATTGTTAAAAAATATTTGATTTTTAAAAAATTATAATACAAAATATAAGTATCTAGATATTTAAATTTTACAAGCGTTTCGGTTATATTTTTTAAAAATTATTATAATTTCTACAAGATTTAAAAGAGAGAATTTAATTTAAAAATTTTTAACTCTCTGTGGAAAATAAATAAGTATATTTAAATATTTATTTAAAAACATTACTTTTAATCTTTGAATAATTGAATTTAGAAACTAGTGAAAGATCCGCAGGAAAATAAAATATGAAATTTTCGTGACAACACTGAATGAAATAAATGACTTTTTCGACTCTTTTTTTTCGTATAATATTATCTTTAATCGACTAAAGTGTGACTTCTTTTTTGCGCCTTAAAGTCGATTCTCGGTTATTTTTAAAATACGCTGAAAATAAAATGAGAAATTTGTGATTTTTAATTTAGTTTTTTCTTTTCTTTTTGTTACAGTGGAAAAGTGCGGAATCCGAATTTTCGGATACTGGGGAGTCAAATGACTTGGAGGCGACACTAAATCCCGACTTCTACGTGATGGACAACGAAGACGGAGCTGGGAAGCAGCAAAGAGCTACGCGTGTCTTTAAAAAATCCAGTCCCAATGGAAAAATTACTGTTTACATTGGAAAACGAGATTTCGTCGATCACATAACCAGTGTTGATCCGATTGGTGAGTTTTTTCTCCCGTATTTTCAAATTTTCCAGTTTTATTTATTTATTCTTTGTATTTTTAAATTATTTATTATTAATTATTAATTTATTCACTTAAGGTAACGGTACCAATATTCGATCAGTTTAATATAATTAAATTAATTAAATATAATTAATAAATATTTGGACAAAATTACACTTTAAAAAAAAGTCCTTCATGTTTAGGCTGATCGACTATACCCAAAAAAAATAAGGATTTTTAATTCTATTTTACGAATAAATTTTCCAATTTAAATCGACTTTAATAAATACGTATTTGAAAGTTTAACATTTCCAGTACATAACTCAAAAATAAATTTTCAAAAAGCAGAGATTAATTTTTTGATTTATTAAATTTTATTGACAATCTTAAGTTAATTGAAAAAAATGCTGATCGACTACTGGTACCATTAGCTAATTTCTTAAATTTGCAATTAATTAATTGTCCAATTAATTTCTTTGAAAATGATTTTGATTTTAGATGGAGTTGTATTAATAGATCCGGAATATGTGAAGGATCGGAAGGTGTTTGGCCATGTCTTGGCCATGTTTAAATACGGAAGGGAGGATTTGGACGTTTTGGGTCTTTCGTTTAAGAAGGATCTTTACGTCGCTGTCGATCAAATTTATCCAGTTGTCTCCAAGACGGAACCACCGAGACCGCTAACGAGGCTGCAAGATCGTCTTCTTAGAAAATTAGGAATTAATGCATATCCCTTTTATTTCGAATTACCACCGCACTATCCAGCCTCTGTCACGCTACAACCCGCACCAGGTGACACTGGCAAACCATGTGGCGTTGATTATGAATTAATGGCATTCGTTGGGGAATCTCAAGATTGTAGAATACGTCCACGGTAAGAGTTCAACCACTTCAACGTAAGTTGAAAACTCTACAAAAAACAAAAAAAAACCGGAAAAATTCCAGATATAAAAATTTTTCTTTCTAACTAATTTTGACATTGAAAATATATTTCTAAAAATTACCAATTGCAATAGAAATTAAAAATTTAAATTCTAAATGAAAAATTAAATTCTAAATTAAAATTAAAAATTTTAAATTCTATATTTAGAATAAGGTTTCCACAAGTCAGGAAATTCTGGAAAAACTCGGGGAAAAGTTAGGGAAATTTATTAATAGTACTGGGAAAAAATTAAATTTTTTAGAATTTATAGGAAAATTCAGAATTTTTGCGTCTTTTTTGTTTGACTCATAAACTATGAAATTACAACAAATTGATTTATAGAAGAATTTTAGTTAAAAACTTAAAAAAAAAATTTAATTTTGAAAAAGTTACAAATAATAGAAATTTTTAGAAATAATTAAATTTTGAAAAGGTTTCAAATTCAAATCTTGGGAAAATCTGAATGTTTAATACTTTTAATTAATGACTCTGTAGGACTAATAACTTGGAAGTTAAAAGTTTTGAACGTTCAAATGAACGAAATTTATTTATTTCTTCTTTATATTAAATTTTTATTTCTATAATTTTGCGTCACTATCAAGCAAATTAATTATAATGTTTCTAAATGTAAAATTTGAGTTTGTAATTTAAATTGTAATCAATAATCTATAAAATTATTTTTAACAAAAAATATTTCATTCATTTGAACGTTCAAAACTTTTTATTCACAATAACTTTGAAAAAATATTAATTTCAATTCCGTGGAAATTAGTAGACTTTTTTAATATATTCAATTATTTTCATGAATTTTAATAAAATTATTGCCAGCAATTCAATTTTTTCATAAGTAACATTATTCAATATTCATTACAAGAACTCAATTTTTTTCAAAAATTTTTTAAAAAATTCTTGTCAAGATTTCAATTATTTCTATAAGTAAAAAAATTCTTCGCCGAAATTCAATTATTTTTAAAAATTTTATTAAAATTCTTGACAAAATTTCAATTATTTTCAAAATTTTTTCTCAATTCAATGATTTTCAATATCTTTAAAAATTCTTATTATTTAAAAAAATTATTTTAAAAAATTTTTTTAAAAATTCTACGCAAACATTCAATTATTTTTATAACTAATAAAAATTCCACAGGGATTCAATTATTTAAAATAGAATTATTTTTAATACAATTTCAATTGAATTCTTCGAAAAATGCATTTGTTCTTAAAAATTTTATTAAAATTCGTCGAGAAGATTCAGTTATTTAAAAATTTATTCATAAAATTATTTATAAGAATTCAAGTTTAAGAAACATTCAATTATTCAATCAATTATTTATTTTTTTGTTATTAAAAAATTGAATTCTCGTAGAATTTTCTAATAAAAATTGATAAAAAAATGAAATTCAGTTAAAGTTTTAGACAATAATTATTTATTATTAAAATAATGGATTTATAGAAGAATTTTAAATAAAAACACTAAAAAATTGAATTTTGGATAAGTTACAAATGATTACAGAAATTCAGTTATTTTCAAAAGTAATAAAATTCTTTGCAGAAATTTAATTATGTTTAAAAATTTTTTTTAATTCTTTCGAAATTTTAATTTTCTTTATAAATAATAAAATTCTTCTCCGAAATTCAATAATTTTCAAAAATTTCAATAAAATTCTTGGCAAAATTCAATTATTTTCAAAAATTTTCCTGAATTCAATTATTTTCACTATCTACTATTTCAATAAAATTTTCCAAGTTAATTTAATTATTTAAAAAGAAATTTTAATAACATTCTTGGCCAACATTTAATTATTTTCACAAGTAATAAAAATTTTGACAGGAATTCAATTATTTACAAAAATCTTTTATAAATTATTTCGCAATAATTATATGATTTTCATAAATAATAAAATTCTTTTTAGAAATTCAATTACTTTCATAAATAATAAAGCTCATCGCAGAATTTTTCTATGTTTTTAATACAATTACCGAACAATTCCTCAAAAAATGTAATTATTTTTAAAAATTTTAATAACATTCGTAGAAAGAATTCAATTATTTAAAAATTTGTTTATAAAATTATTATGAGAATTCAATAATTCTACGAAACATTCAATTATTCAATAAATGTTTTATTTTTGTATTTTAATGAAAATCTAATGAAAATTGCTTTAAAAATTAAATTTAGTTAAAGTTTTAGACAATAATTATTTATTATTGAAATAGTGGATTTATAGAAAATTTTTAAATAAAAACACTAAAAAAAAATTGAATTTTGGAGAAGTTACAAATGATTGCCGAAATTCAATTATTTTTAAAAGTAATAAAATTCTTCGCATAAATTAAATTATATTCAACAATTTTTTAAATTCTCTTTAAAATTTCAATTATCTTTATAAATTATAAAATTCTTCTTCGAAATTCAAAAATTTTCAAAAATTTTAATAAAATTCTACACAAACATTTAATTATTTGCATAAATAATCAATATTTCACAGGAATTCAAATATTTAAATTTTAATATATATATTTTTTTCGCAATAATTCAATTATTTTCATAAATAATAAAATTCATCCCATAATTTCAAATATTTTTAATACAATTTTAATCGAATTCCTCGGAAAGCGTAATTATTCTTAAAAATGTTATTAAAATTCGTCGAAAGAATTCAATTATTTAAAAATGAATTTCAGTTAAAGTTTTAGATAATAATTGAATTTTGGAGAAATTACTAATAATTCCAATTTTTAGTAATAATTGAATTTTGTCAATTGAAATGATGATAATAATTTTGAAGAATATTATATAAAATAATGATTTTATCACTCGATCATGTATTATAATAATATTCTTATAAATTGCTGAATTTGAAATTTTTTAAAAATCTAAATTCCTTTGAAAAAATAATGATTAAATATTTATTTCAAATAAAATTATTCATGTTTTCGAATAATTTTACAATTAAAAACATTTGCAAATAAATGTATTAGAATATTTTTTTTAGTAAGTATCTAATCATTTTTAGAGATTTTCGATTCGTGACGTAATTTACTTAATAAATTTTTTTTTCTTTTGACGATAAAGAAATAAATAAATTTTGTTTATTCGAATATTCAAAATTTTAAGGGCATTAAAATTTGAGTTAGTAAAAATAAGTGTTTTTTTATATTCACTGGGTCTTGTTCCTCACAACTTATTTGAAAATTGAAGCACATTAATATGCATCAAAACCCCAAAGGCCTTACTCTGTTATCATTCTACTGCCTTGCCGTGTTAAATTACGCTTGATTTCATGAGTGGCACACAAACTTCAATGAAGGGAACTCGCGATGACGTTTGAAGATATGAAATTATTCCTAGAATCAAAAGCATTTTTCAGTTATTACAATAATTTATTCACTAATCGCGTTCGTGAATTCAAATCATTTTCTTTAATTCCTTTTTTTTAATAACACAAAAAGATGATAAATTTTCAACTTCAATTTTATCTTTTCAACACGCGCATATAATTTTCAAAGAGATCGAGTATGAAATGTTTTTTTTTAAACCAGTTTTTAAAATTACTTGTTTCACTGTCATAATAAGAAATTTGTAATAATGAGTGAAATTTTTTTTTTGGTTTTTTTTTCAGCAACTCGGTAAAACTTGCAATACGAAAAATAATGTACGCTCCGTCCAGACAAGGTGAACAGCCATCGACCGAAGTTAGCAGAGAATTTTTAATGTCGCCAAGCAGGTTACATATGGAGGTATCTCTCGATAAGGAGCTCTATCATCATGGTGAAACAATTTCTGTTAATGTTTACATAGCTAATAACAGCAATCGAACTGTGAAAAAAATCAAGGTGTCAGTGAGACAAATCGCCGACATCTGCCTTTTTTCCACGGCGACCTACAAATGTACTGTTGCGGAAGTTGAAAGCGAGTGAGTATCTTTTATTCTTTTTATACTTCCAATAAATCCAACATCAAGGCGATACAATTATACACTCAAACTAGAAACTGATAATATTCGGAAATTATTATTTTTGCATTAACAAATTTTTAATTCATTTTAATTTTTTAAGAGGTAATTTTTTTAATTATTATTAGTTAAGGATTAATTAAATTATCAATCTCGATATCAATGAATTTAGTTAGGTTTGCCACAGGAGAGGGGAAACAGGGTTGACATAGGTCATGAAAGACAGGAAATTTAGAGAAAGGTCAGGGAAAGTAGAACTGGTTAGGGAAATCAGGGATTTTTACTAGAAAAAAATTAATTTTTAGAGTCCATAAGAAAATTTCTGAATATATATTTAATTAATTATTAAAAATAATAGACTTACAGAAGATATTTATAAATGATTGCAGAAATTCAATTATTTTCAAAAGTAATAACATTCATCGCAGAAATTCAAATATTTTTAAAAACTTGAATAAAATTCTTGTACAATTTCAATTATTTTCAAAAATTTTCCTCAATTCAATGATTTTAAATAACTACTATTTTAATAAAATTTTCCAAAAGAATTCCATTATTTAAAAAGAATTTTTATAAAATTCTACGCAAATATTTAATTATTTTCATAAATAAGACAAATTTCACAAGAATTCAATTATTTACAAATTTTTATCGTAATAATTACATTATTTTCATAAGTAATAAAATTCTTTTAAGGAATTCAATTATTTTCATAAAATAACAAAACTCATCATGGAATTTCAATTATGTTCACAAATTTAAAAAAATTATCGTCAAAATTTCAATTATCTTTCTAAAAAATAAAATTCTTTTCAAAATTCAATTAATTAAAATTTTTTTTTTAATTTTCAGCAAAATTTCAATTATTTTTAATAAATTCAATGATATTCAATATCTACTATTTTAAGAAAATTTTCCAAAAGAATTCAATTATTTAAAAAAAAAGGAAAGAAACTTCGTTGCAAATTCAATTATTTTCACAAATAATCGAAAAATGTAATTATTTTCAAAAATTTTTGGAAAATTGCTTTGCAAGAATTCAATTATTTTTCACAAATAATGAAATTTTTCGCTGAAATTTAAATATTTTGAAAGTCTACTATTTTATAAAATTTTCCAAAAGAATTCAATTATTTAAAAAAAAGGATGAAACTTCGTTGCAAATTCAATTATTTCCACAAATAATCGAAAAATGTAATTATTTTCAAAAATGTTTGGAAAATTTGTTTGCAGGAATTCAATTATTTTCGACAAATAATGAAATTTTTCGCTGAAATTCAAATATTTTAAAAATCTATTGTTTTAATAAAATTTCTGAAAAGAATGCAATTATTTAAAAAGAAATGTAATAAAATTCGTTTCAAGAATTCAATTATTTCCATAAATAATAAAATTCTTCACAGGATTTCAATTATTTTCAATGCAATTTTAAATTAATTCCTCGAAAAATGTAATTATTTACAAAAATGTCGATAAAATTCTTGAAACTAAATTGAATTGAATTCTTGTAGAACTTTCTAATGACAATTGAATTTCAATTATGTTTATTTCAGTTTTAATCTGAATTTTTCATACTTTTAATTAATAATTCTGTAGAACTAATATTTTTGAAAAAAATTTAATCTCTATTTTGTTGAAATTAATTGAATTTTAATATATTTTTAATATTACTTCTCAAATTTTAACGCAAATTTTGTAAAAAATTCAATTATCTTGATAAATATCAGAATTCTTCCTAGAAATTCAAATATTTTCAGGAATTTTAATAAAATTCTTTGCTTAATTCAATTATTTTCAAAAATGTCATTAAAATTCTTAAAAAAATTTTAATTATTTCCATAAAGTTTTCTCTATTCAATAATTTTCAATATCTACTACTTTTAATAATACAAATTTTCCAAAACGAATTCAATTGTTTGAAAAATTTTTTAATAAAATTCTACGCAAACATTCAATTATTTTCATAAATAATGGAAAATTCATCAGAACTGAGTTATTTAAAACAGAATTTTTTTTAATACAATTTTAATTGAATTGCTCGAAAAATGTAATTGTTCATAAAAATTTTATTAAAATTCGTCTAAAAAATTCTATTATTCAAGAAATTATTTATTTTTGTATTTAAATAATTGAATTTTCGTAGAATTTTCTAATAAAAATTGAGTTAAAAATGAATGTTAGTGAAAATTGTAGATAATAATTGAATATTAAAAGTATTACCTGTAGCAAGCATTTTTAGAAATAATTTAATTTTGAAAACTTTTCAAATTAAAATAATTTGAAAATTCTCAAAGAACTTTTTCAAAAATAATATTAAAATTCATCGATTTAAATAAGAATTTTATTAGTTAAAAATTCTAGAAAAAAATAATTGAATTTTAATGATGAAAATAATAATGATTATTAATATTAACAATTAAAGAAATTCTTGAATAAATGCAATAGAACTTTTTTTTGAGTATCTAATAATTTGTAGAGTGAATCAGAATATTCTTTAGGCTCAGGAAAAAAGTCAAAAATTTATCTCGAAATCAGGAAAAAGGCAGGAAAAGCAAAATAAAATTATCGAGTGTCAACCCTGGAAAAGTCAGAAAAAACAAATCAAATATTTGTGGCAACCCTGTTAATGGAATTTAATTAATTTTTATCGCACACTGGGAAATAAAATAATAAAAAATATAACTCGGGAAATAAAAAAGAATCACTGCGGGGTCAAGCAGAATTTTTTTCGTAAATATTACTTTTATTACACGTTCAGGCACAATAAAAGTTTAAAGAAAAAAAATATCAAGGGAATAGATCGGAATATAATGTCGTGAAATCGGATATCAAAACTAAATACATTTCAAGGTTTTAAAGTGAATGGATAATAATAATATTTCATCTCTAATGAGGAAATGCTACTGTTTAATAAATTATTATTATACAAAAACTGAAGCTACTGATGAAACTTGGAAACTTTTAAATTGCAATTAACAAGATTGAAAATAATAACGAGTAAACCAGGTTTGCACAAAGAAAATAATTAAGGACAAAATAAAATTTCTCAAAAGAAGTAAAGAGTTTATAAAAGAAAATTCTATGAGGAAACTTAATGAAAATAGTTGCATTTCTCAAAGTTGGTTTATAATTGTTTCAAGATTGTTTTTAGACTTCATTAAAATTGTATTCTTAGTTTATATTACTGCTCAGTGTGTTCATATACAGAGGGGATGACTTAGTCAGAGGTTTAATTAATTACTTAATTATTCATTTAAATTTATATTAACATTAACAATTTATTAAATTAATATTCTCTTCTTTATTTATTTTAAATGCGTAAAAATTTGTCATAATGGAATCTAAAAACAACTATTGTAGGAAATACAAATATTTCGTATATGGAAGTTTGTTTTTTATTTTATTTTTTTTTTTTTGACGGAAAAATCAACATTTCTCGACAGTACAGAATCACTGGGTGGAAAATATTTAATAAAAACATAGGCGAAAATGTTTTTAATTAAAAATTGTTTAATTTGGAATTTTTTATTGGTATTATAAAAACTTTGCTTTTATATTCTTTAATTTCGAATTTTTTATTAAGATTAAAAAAATTTTACTTTAGAATTATTTAATTCAGAATTTTAAAAATTTAATTGAGGTATTTTACAAACATTTTGAATGTTGAAATGAACGCTATTTTTATTGTTGTAAAGATTTAATTTAATTTAATTTTTTAATTCGTTAAATTTGAATTTATTTTCCGTAAATTTGCAAAGTTTGAACAATTATTTTCTTCAGAATTAATTGATTAAATTAATTAAACAAAATAACATTTTGACAAAAATGGGATTTAAAAGAAATAAAAGTATCGTCGTTCATTTGCACGTTCAAAACTTTATTAACAACGTATTGAGAATAAAAATTTAGCTGTAAAATTTTATTTAATATGGAAAATTAAAAATTTCTTTCATTACAAATTCTCGGCAGCTATACAGGTAAAGTGTGCCTCAAAATACACAATAAAAATAAGTCACGCTCTGCTCTTTTATCGAAGGGTTTCATTAATAAAAATAATAATAAAAAAGAAAATAAAAGAGAAATAGGAAAAAGTAAAAAGAAAAAAAAGAAAAAAGATTAAACATTGTTTAAGAGTATCGCCACTGTTACGAGGTAAAAAACGTATAAAAAAAAGAAAGTAGTGATACAGCGAGGAGAAAATAAAATAATTGATTGGCAGTATAGGGGTAGCGCCAGGATTCACCTTGAGCAAGGTCTTTTTTCTAAAGCCGACTCTTGCCGACAACAAGGACAAACGGGGTCTTGCCCTAGACGGGCAACTTAAACACGAAGACACCAATCTCGCCTCTAGCACCATGTGAGTGCTCCAACATTAGGCACAAATTGTTGGGTTCTAAGAGTGGAAATTGGAAACGGGTCGAGCGCTCTCCGCAATAGGTTTAGCACGCTATCCCGTCGGATTATTGCCACAAGAAATGTGGATTTCAACGAACACTAAAGCTGTCCGACGAAAAGTCGATACCAGAAATTCCTCTTGCCAACATTTCTTTATAAAAGAATTCAAAAGTAAAATTGTTCCGAGTACTTTTTATTTTTAGTTATCATCAATTTTTGACAAAAAAAAAAGAAAGAATTAATTTCTCTTTGCAATTTTTAATGATTTCGTTTTAATATTTCTTTTATTTACCTATATTTATTTATATTTTTATTTATTTTTATTTTACTTTTTTATTTTTTGCATTTTTTATTTTATCAAACTTTGAAAAAAATCGATTTAAATTATTCAAATGCATTAATTATCTCTCGCAATTATTAAGTCTCCGTAGACGTTTATTAATTGATTGTCAATTGAAAGCGAATTCTATTTCAATAATGAACTTTAATTATGTGGAAAAAATTTTTTGTTTACTTCAAAGGAGATTTTTTATCGAAAAAAATATTTTTTTAAGGAATAAATAAAG